ATGCAAAAGGGTATATCATATATCCTTTGCTTGTAATCAAAACAGGACCTTACAACTTCATTGCAGGCAGCAGTCTGAATCTGAACTCTGAAAAACGGTTAAGTCGGTTACTTGTGTTCTATATCTTGCCATTGCACATGATCTGAATTTTTTTAGGAGTTTTCTTTCTAGTAGCCTTGCAGAGTATATCTGGCAAAAATAACTAAATCCGATAACCCAACTCAACTCAAATCAGCAAAGGCTTTTAGCATTTGCAAATGTTTGATTTCCGGATTAACCTTAACATCTCTTTTTTTTTTTTTTTTGACAATTTTTTTAGTCAAATATCAAAATTATCAAAACACATTTAATTAATATGGAAAAGGGTCATATTAAGGGTAATCTAATAAATCTTTCGTTTAAAAAACCCTTTCAGTAATTTGATAAAAAAAAATTATAATGAAATATTCCCTAACTACCAAACTAAACAAAGCTTAAATTAATAGTATTTGAATTTGAGAAAGATATAGAAACTAGTGGTAGTAAACTAGTAATTACAAGAAAAGGAGGATGATAAAAAGAGTGTAAAGAGAAAGAAAAACATCAGCAGACAGCAGTGTACTCAATTGCATGGCAAAGAAAACTAAAGACCAAAAGTGGTAATGATTCTAAAGTAGGGCATATTACATGGGAATGTGGAACAATAATTAATCATCACCTTATAAAAGCTACTTTAACCTCCCCCTCTAATCCCTCAACTTTACAGCTGAATGCTGACCATTCAACTGTTCTAACTTCAACTACACACCCCAACAAAGGAAAAAACAGATGCATTTTCCTTCTGGACTAACTCAAAATCATACCAGTTTCGGGTTCAAAATGACATTTTTTCCATTAAGAAATAAGAAATTTGTTAATGGCAAGAATGTCATTTCAATCACAAACTAATATGTTTTTTAATTAATCCAAACTAAAATTACATTTTCTAAAACTCCACTTTTTTTACAGCAAATTGCCATACACTTCTCTCTTTTCCATTGTTTTAACTTAATAATATTCATGGCATTAGGAGAACCACAGAAAAGAGAGTCATCAGACCTGCAAGTAACCCCACCATCACCTGCACTCCCCAAAAAGAAGAAAACAATACCAAATCAATGTATATACCCCATGCATATAAACATAGCCTAGAAGATAATTTTGTTTACTTGAAATATGTTAGCTATTAGAAACAACTGATGACTGTTTTCTCTAATAGCACAAAAGGTTTACAGTTAAACCAAATAGAGTTGGTATTTTGATAGTTATATCTAGCTAAAGAGAGAATTTAATTACCTGTCTTCCATGATCAGAGGAGGACAAAGGGAGAATGGTAGCAGAATCAACTTCACCAGTAGGTAGAGGGACTGCGGGGTTACTGTTGATAAAAGGGATGCCCCCACCTTTGTCTGGAACTATTGTTGGCATTGACACCGGAGAAATGACATTACTAGGCGCTGGACTCGGTAAGGCTGCTTCATGAGGCTGGGACGGCCATGGATATGCTGGGGAAGATGACACCATCCCACCAGAAGGCGGTGCTGGAGAAGATGACACGGTTCCACCTGAAGTCGGTGCTGGAGCTAGCATGGGAGATGACTCTGGGGCGGAGGTTGCAGGGGAGACCTTAATGGACAGCTTTTGGGAAGCTTGGCATGATTTCAGGGAGTCATTGTTGAATGTGAAGTAGTATAAACCAGGACGAGATGGGTGCCACTACACATTGCACAAGCAAATTAAACTGTTTAATTATTATCCTAATTAAACAACCCAGAAAAACAAGAGACAAAAATCAACTGCAATTATGAAGTACTCTGCAGCCTGCACCTATTAAAGTACACAGAAAAGCAATATTTCTATGGATTAAGGTTCAGAATAATGGAGCTAGTAACATACCGTGTAGGAGGTGGAGTTGGGTTTGGTGAGGAGAGTAGCCTGAGTGAAGTTGCAGAGATTAAAGGCACTTTGGTTCCGGAAAATGTAGACTTTATAGTGATACTTGTTGTTGAAAACTGAGGAGATTGTAGAAGACAAAACACAGGAATGTCAGTTAGTAGCTAAACAGAGCATCAAAAACCAAAGACAATATTCACTTTGATTTGTCTTTTAAAGAAAATGCTATGCACTCACTTATGGAATCTCCAACATGAACAGTGGCGTTTTTCCACTCTGAAACACCATCAACCAGCACTGTTGTAGAATGAGAAGGATGGAGGAGTAAGAAGAGGAAAGGAAGGAGGAAGACAAGCATGGAGGAGATCTTCATGAACTCTTCTTACAGGGAAAGATATAATGAGGGAATGGATTAGGCTGTAACCTTTTATCCTTCCCCTGCTGCTGGTTTAGTCTGGGTCATTGAGCAGGAAAACAGTGTTGAAAAATGTGTTAGTTGTGTCAGCCTTGTTTGGGGTTTCAGAGGAAAGGGTTTGTAACTTTGTATGGATGCCAGACATGGGTATTGGAGGTAGTGATGTGTGTGAGTTTTATACTAAATCTCTAAGAGTATTTTACACAGGAAAAGGTGGCATGATTTTGTTTGTGGAAAAACTAATCTCTTTAGACTCTTTATTACTTTAGGTAAAGGGGAGATGCATAAAATAAAAACAAAGAAATTGAATGACAAAAATGATGGGGATTATTATTCAAAAATGATTAGTCAGTGATTAGTATCAAACTGGGAGTCCCTATTCCCTAGTTTTTTCTAGGTTGGTGGGAGAAGGGAATCCAATTTGCTTTCTTCTATGAATGAAATCTTTCCCTTTGTCTTTTAGTACCACTTAAGGGGTTCTATTTGCTGGATTTTATTCAATGATGCCTTTATTCCTTAAAGCTTTCAATTCAAGGAATAGAGAGATGAGGGAAGCACACTTCTTATTTTTTCACATGGATGGGCTATACAAAAATGATCGTTCATAAATCCATCACTCTCTCTCTTTAGATTAAACTCAAAACAATTAATGAACAATATAGTTGTGGTTATGATCACATAATTATTTGTTAAGGTTATACAATTTATTTAATTTTTATTTTAATTTGATTCTTAAATATAGTTAATAATTAATAAAATAATTGATATTTATTATTTAATAAAATAAAATTGATTTATGAAAAATATTTTCAAATATTACAACTAATTGTCTAATAAAAAAAAAGTTATACATTAACTAATAACTTAAGTAACTCAGTAATAATCTCTTTTTTTTTAAAAATAAGAAATCCTGAGTTCAAGTCATATGACATGTGAGTGGAATGAAGTAAAGAATGGGAGATGATTGCCTCATATTATGTAATTAATCATAAAAAAAAAAAAGTTATACACCAATAAAAAATAATTAAATTATATGATCATAACAACAGATCCGTGTGGCCATAATCCCATCCACACCACACGAGCCTAAACAGGAAGTGAACAAGGTAAAGCAAATGCATCTTTTCCTAGCTTTTGCTTCTGTAGTTGATAGGACCACCATACAGCCATAGAGGCCTTTGAGAAAGGCAAAAGCCAAATTAGTTATAAATGTCAATATAACAAAGCAACGGATTTACATACCGTCCTAAAAAAGAGCATTTAGAGAGCCTGTGAAGATGGGTGGCGTTTGTATGGGACAATACTGGTGCAAGGAAAGAAGAGAAGCTCAAGAACAGATAAAAGACACCCCACCTCCACAACAGCAGCCTTAACTATACAATTTGTAACTTTCGATGTGGGCCAAAGGCTACGCATAATGGTGTCAGCAATGAAATGACAAAGATTAAACGACAAAATAACACTGACGAAAAGCACTTGAGAGAGCACGTAGAGACAACCAGAAAACGACCACAAATCATCTGCAACAAGATAACAAACGATTCTTAATCTGCTACTGCAGAGTTTGACTCGTACCGAAGAGAACACAGTATAAACCAATAACATGTCCATTACAGCTATGTTTTTTTATGGTTGTCTTCTTCAAAACAAACTCTTGCACATGTAATTGTGAGAGTTTATTTCTTTGAGAATAACATTACCATTCCAGTATTGAAATGCTGATATTCACAGTGCCTTCCAAATGCTCAAATTGGATGAAATATGCCCTTCATTTTCATTGTTCTTTTTCCTTCTACGAGATACAAGAATTGAATCGTATGTACAACTGCTTAAACTATAAAGGGAATTTCTCTAATAGTAATTTCAGGAGCTGCTTAATTAGAAGCATTCGGAGGCAGCTATATAATAAAGACTTGCATATGAATATGCTCATTTTCATCAAGATAAATACTAAGGCCCTGATTAATATTAACAGATCACTACCATTCACCAATCAATATTTTGTTAAAGGGCTGCTAAAGCTAGTGAATATATGAATACAGTCAGCGCTAGTCCAGAACCTTTCTCTAATACTTCGGCAGCAAGGGGAACCAAGTTTGCTGTGAATCCAGTGATATTCTCACGAGCTACACACATTTAACTTGCAGATCCTGCAATTCTCTCCATTGTACATCCTCTCGAGTAAAAAGGTGCTTCTCTTCAGGATTGGGTTTGCAAGGACTTTCAATTTTGGTTATGCTTCTCTTAGATGACTAAAAAAGAAGATAATTTCATTGTCTTGTTGCCCCACTTTTTGTTACCCCTCTTTTTTTAACTTTCAGATTCCCATCTCAAAACTCAAAGAACTAAGTCTACCATTAAAGAGAATGATATCTACAGAGCCTTCGTGGTGGTCTTCGCTGCTCAACAACAGGTATCACTTTCTCCATGAGCTGTGGAAAAAATAAACGAGATAACTGACCATTAGTAACTTCCATATCAACTTGTTACCTTTGTTTGCTCCATCATAAACAACAGATTGATTTAAAATCTAACAAAGACAGCTAACCACCAATAATAAATATTCCACTTTGTTTAACAGAAAAGAACAATATTCAATGGCAAAGCATTGTCATTGTTTAAAAGAAGACATGATCAGAGAACATGAAATCTAGTGTTTCATATAAATTAAAAACAGGGGAATAGGCACCTGGGCTTTGTGGCCCACTGGCAATATGTCTCGTAGTAAGGTGCATCCTCTCAGCTCAAGAGCTGGGGTTTGAATACCCCCTCCCCAAAAAAAAAAAAAAAAAAAAAAAAAACAGGGGAATAGGAATAAAACCCCCTCAGCTTCAGTATTTGTCATTCAAAGGTTAGAGGTATTATAGAAGATTGTCCAAGATTTGAAGTCGATTATATTCTAAATTTCTATTCTGTTCTCCAGAGTTCTTTATAAGTTCTTGCCATCCAAATATTAGGAGAAATGCCTCTCATCTTATTCCAAGCAATGTGACTCCAGGTAGACAATCTTAAGTCCCCTTATTCTAATCTTAGTTTCCAGAAAAATAGTTTCATTAGAATCAGGAGATTCATGTCCATGATGAATTAAAGACTCCAACACAGCAAAACCTAATCCATACAAAACTGCTCAATTACCCAACCCCCACAAAAAAAAATTATTCCTCCTTTTATGTAAGGGCAGATCATAGTTATTCAACAAAAGAAATCATTGCCAATACCCTTTTTTTCTTTTAAGAACAATTTTATACCTGGTAATTCACACTTGCATGCAAAGAAAGGTCTTTCTCTAATCATCTTTCTCTTAAATCAAACTAATTGGCAACAGTGGTGAGTACAATAAAAAAAAAAAAAAAGGGGAGTCTTTTGCTAGTCCTAGTCTCTACTCTGATAATGTTTCTCTTAAATCAGAATAATTTGCAACAGCATATAATAAAAAACTGGGATTTATTACCTGATTAAACCTTTCCTTAGTCCTCTCAACCTGTGAGTTGACAACTTCAATTAGACAAAAATATACGCAAGAAGATCCAAGGTAACACTTACAGTTGCAATGAATAAACTATAAAGTATGTAAACCATACACTGGTAAGATTAATTAAAGGCATAAAATAAAATAAAATTTCCAACAGTAGTCTATTACCATGAAATAACCAAAATCAAAAGCAACATGTACTCCATATATGTGACTATTCTTTATCTTTTTGTTCATAATTTTAGGGGGGAAAAAAAATGGAAATTTAGTTACTCATATTTGCAGTATCTAAACCTCCTCAAGCATAACCAGGATATCCAAGAATTCAAGAAGAAAAGATCACAAAGGCAATATAAACCTTACCTTAAAAAGAGAACAGGATTAGATTCTACAACACTTATATATAGATTTTATACAGTAACACTGAGCAACCCAAGTTCTGCACACAATGAATTCACAGGGCATACACAATCTAAACAATTATTGTTACGGCTTTAGAGACTCTCAAACTCGTTTATTTATTTTGTGCACTGTGAAAATGAACTATGGAAATGGCCAATCTAAATTATGCTATCCATTGAAAAGATTATCTAATCAAGAACATATCTTTTGATCACTGAATCAACTAGCAGAAAGGCATAGCTATCATCTGCTCCAGACTATTGAAAACGAAGTTGCAGACAATGTAAAATGTCGGCGTTAGTCAATCTTTTAATGGAGGGTCTCAACTAGAAACAACAATAATTTTCATTTTTTAAAGAAACTACATTATAATCCATTTTTCTGTTAGATCCTTGTGCTCCCATTCCTAACACACAATCTCACACAACATAGCCATAGATCTAAAACTGAAACAAACGCAATACCTTCTCTTTCAACAGCTGCTCATTCTCTTCCTCCAGTCTCACTGCCAGTGACTCCAACTCAACTTGGTAAGCCTAACGTTTCAAAGAAAAAGAGAGAGAAGAAGAAGAAGAAGATTAGCATACCCACCCACCAATCAATCAATTGAAATTCAATCATAATGCTTCCACAACAAAAAAGTAACCAGAAAAGTTCAATCAATTCACCTGCTTTCTTTCCCTAGACCTGGCTGCTGATTCCCTATTCTTGATCATCCTCCTTTGCCGCTGCTGAGCTGCCTTATCCATGGATTCCATCATAACCCCTCTCCCTCTCTTTCCCCTCCCTCCACCTATATCACTAATCACCTCTGTTCCACTCCCCAACCCAACTATGGACCCCTCCATCTTGTCCAGTATGTGGAATGCGTTTGGTGTGACCGGATCAAATGAGTAAAGCCCTCCACTCAGTCTCTCCGATTCCACCTTGGTCTCTGCATCATCATCCACCCCTTCATTCCTCGCTAGGAACTCCTCAAGCGTAATTACCTCATCCGGTGCCTCCTCCTTCATCGTCACTTCTTTCCTCACCCCGGAAACTATCTCCCTCCACATATCATCCACAGTCTTAGCCACACTTTCGTCATTATTATTCACAAAATCCGCATTCCGACCCTCACTACCTTCCGGATTAGCAGTCGGTATCGTCCCCGGCGTGTCAACAAGCGTGATGGACGCATCCACAAGCGTAGTCTCGGTAGATGGTGCCGCAGTGTAAACATTCCCCAAAACACCGTCCACTGTCATTGTGGAGCTCGAGCTCAACCTGCTGCTGCTCCCACTCCCGCTGCTATCTTTCCGATCAGATACAGACAAAGGTTTTGTAGAGTAAGAACCCGAAGAAGACCGACGCGAGAGATCCGATTTTCGCGAATTCGAAGATGCCATGACTTTAGACGACGCCATTTCCGGCGACGGAAACAGAACCGCTACTAGAATTTGTCTAGGGTTTTGGGGATTTTTTTTGGGGGGGGTTTGGGAGTTTGTTATTCTGTTGGGATCAAGGGGAACCGTGGAAGAGAGGATGCGCGTGCGGAAGCGCGTGGGAGGAATTTTTCTGGGTAGAGTTTCTCTCGGAGCAACCGGGGCCGGAGGATTCGGGTTTTTTTTTTTTAGAGTTTTTGATTTGACTAGGTTTGTTTTTTGGACGGTTGTGATGGGGTTATTAGTGCCACGTGGATTGATTTGGTTGGAAGATGGATGCGAAACTTTCGACTACCATGGGCTGCCGTTTTGGTCTACCTAACCTATGACTTTACTTTGACCGTCCTGGTGTAAAAGAGGTACCGAAAGTCCGAAACGTTGTACCTGGGCCGGCACCAGTCCAATCAGCCCAACTGTTTTTAGAGTACAAATTAAATTTTATTAATTGTATTATTTAAATTTATATAAAATTTAAATAATATAAAATTTAAAATTTAAAAATATAATATAATATTTATTTTTAAAATTAATTAAAAATATAAATTTGATATAAAATTAATTAAAAATACTCTAATTAATAAAATTTTAATTTATATTTTAAAAATATAAATTAAACAAACCCTTTTTTTATTAATAAAATCACCATGTATTTATTGGAATATGTGGAAAGGTCAAAGGTTAGCAATTTTCCTTTACCAGGGACCATATAGAAATGGGAATTGAATGAATTAAAATAAAAAATAAAATAAATTTTTTTAATTAAATAAAGAAGTTTTCACCTCTTTCTTT